TTTCCTTGTCCTACTGTGTCTACAGTGAAAGCCAGCTAAACAAAGAAGCTCAGTGCTGGAAAACTCCATAAGACACAAACCATGGAACAGCTCAAGTTAGAAGGAGCTGTTAAAGGTCACCCAGTCCAATGATCGGGGACATCCTGAACCAGATCCCATTGCTCAGAGCCCTGTCCAACCTAATCTGGAATATTTCCAAGGATGGGGTATCCACCACCTTTTCCAGTGTTTACCACCAACACTGGAAAAAAAATTTTGTCCTAATATCTAATCTTATTCAGCATGCTTTTAGCTTAAAGCCATTCCTCCTTGTCCTATTGCAACAAGCCCTACTGAAATGTTTTCCACACATTTCTTTTCAGGAAAGTGGGGGATTTTTAGAAGAAAAGTGTTCAAGGCCAGTTTGGGTGGAGCTCTGAGCAACTTGGTGTAGTGGAAGGTGTCCCTGCCCATATCAGAGGGTTGGAACTGGATGGCCTTGAAGGTCTCTTCCAACCCAAACCATTCCATGGTTCTAAATGCTGTTCCTTGGCTGAGGTGAAGTTTTCCCAGATCTACCCTGCAGAAGCTGTTGGCCTTGACTGGACTAAGTGATTTTTTTCTCTCACAAATGACATTTCTGATAAACAGCTCAAATTGTCTTTTAAGAACTATATTTGCAATACCTTATGTGGTCTGCTGCTGCTATAGGGTAGCCATAATTCAAACTTTACTATCTAATTTAGCAGATACTTAAATATGGTGAGAGATGAATATGGGTGGGGGGAGGACATTCTACAGGCTGATGGGATATGTGCAATATACTCCAAAAATTTAGGCTTATAATTATTTATTATAGAACAAGTGGAGGAAAATGTTGGGTAGTAGAGAAGTTGACTCATGGTATTGAAGTGATAAACAATTTTCTCCTTAAAAAACCCAAAAGACTGTGTTTTGCAGTAGCTTTTGAAAGTTAATATTACAGGACTGGAAGTTGATAGACTTTCTATTATGTCTTAACTGATTTTGATGGGGAAGAGATTTCTGACTCTGTCACTACCAGTTAGATCAGCTTTGGCAATGCTCTGACAGGGTTTGCAAGGATCTGATGTTATCCAAGGAGAAGTGCGCTGGCACAGACATGTGAACCCACCCATAATTTTTCCATGGTCTCTGCAGTAGCATCTCCCTCTAATGAGGGCAAAACAAACAAAAATCCCAACTTTTGAAAAGTCATGACCTGGATAAAACTAACCTTGACTTTTCTGTCTTTTATGATTAAGTTCTCCTGTGACTTATTTTTGTCCTGTTTCTGCCTGCAGATGTTCTGAAGAAATCCTGAGCTTTGGTATAAAATACAACTCTGTGTTTTAAAAACTCTATCCCTTTTTAATTAAAGTAATTGCACCTTTGTTTTAATAATTTAAATATGTATATGTCCTGCAGACCTTCAGGTAACAGTTTTACTGGCAGCAATTAATCTTATTTCTGAGCAGAGGTGTAGCTACAGGGCTGCTTTGTTTGTACATGTGCTTAGTTGTATGAGATTTTCAATCCCACTGCTCAAATGGAAAATTGGGAGGGTTTGTCTTCTATGGAAGAAAAACATGGAGCATGTGAGTCAGAAAAAGAAATTTGTGAGGTTTAGTGAGCACCCACTTTTATTTTTTAGTTGGCAAGAGTTTGGTGCTGAAATTGCTGTTAGGGAATTTTTAAAGTTGTTGGCAAAGTCTCAATTTCCAAGTGTCCTCAGCCAGCACCTTGGATATCCTGTAGTGGGGTTATGATGAAGACAGAGCTATTTCAGGTTATGCTGTTGGGGCTGCATCTCCAGGTCCAGATCTTCCTACCTTTCTTTTTGGTTTAGCCCAGCTCATGGGAAATAATTGGGCTCTTAATCATGGAATGGTTTGGATTGGAAGGGGCCTTAGAGATTGATCTTGTTCTGGTTGTCTGTGGAAAAATGTTATTTTATGAGCTCCTTTGCCTTTGGCTCCTGGCATTGAAGTTTGCTCAGCCTCTGCCATATGTTGGCTCCATGTCAGGAATTTTTCATCTCCTCCACCTGAGTAAGAACAGGCTGAGTGAAGTAGTGGGAGGTGATGAGGAAGATGCTCTAAGCTGGACATGCAGTTGGACACCCAGGAATCTTCTGAGTGCCTGCTGGAGCCAGGAAGGACTGCCCAGCCCTAATTCTTTCCTTCAGACACAGGCACAGTGCACAGTGGTGTCTTGTTGGCTCAATTTCCTCCTGCATGTCACAATTTGGCCACTTCTGCCTTGCAGCTGGACACAACATAAATTTGTACAGAGGAGGAAAGAACTCAACTCCTGTGGGAGGTCTGAGGCTGTGGATTTTTCTCTTTCTGAACAAATTCCTGGTTTGCAATCCTCCAACCACTGTCCATCTTCCCTGTGGGCTCAGCAGAGATGTCTGGACCACAGCCTTGTTTTTCTTGGCTCTTCCCTCAAAGTAATTGAGGAAGAAATATGAGTCTCTAGGGTGTCTGGGAAAGAGAAGATGGAAGCTGCTACCCTGACTTTCAGTGCTGGGTTTTTAGGACTGGTGTGTGTGTGCAAGAATGCTTCAATACATCTGTTGGCACATGGTGGATTCTTGGAGTGTCCTGTGCAGGGCAAGGAGATGGATTTTGATGATCATTGTAGGTCCCTTCCAACTCAGGATATTCTGTGGTTCGCTGGTTCTGCTGCTGTGGCTCTTGCTAGTGTGGTCCAACCTCCTCACCTTGGTATGATGGTGGGGCTGCCCATCCTTAATTTCCATTGTCTCCCATTGGTTTAATGTGGAATTTTCCCCTTGAATTGGGATATGGGGGTTTGCTGACCTGTTACAAGTGGGAGTGCCTGCAGCAGCATTATTCCAGGATATCAGGTGATTGTTCACAGTTGGTTGTTTCTCTGGCTATTAAGAGGATGAGCTTTGGTGTTTTATCCTGCTGGAGCCCTGTTTGAGACTTTTCTGAAGGACTTGGGTCCTTTAGTCAAGCCAAGGGTAGAGCTTTGCTGCTGTAGCTGTGCCACACAGCTCTACTGTCAGTTGTTGATGCAGCACCTTTTGAAATATTCACATTTAATGGCAATACAAGGCACGGCTGAGCTCTGAAATGCCATGGAGAACCAAAGGAGTGGAAATAGAGTGACAGCAGAGCTTAACACTTCTTGGCTTTTGTTTGTGTTGAGCTATCTGGGTTTTGTGCATTGACTGATCTGCTTGCTTGGGCTGCTGACATTCATCTCTCTTGACTGTCAAATTCAGTGTAGTGGAAATGTTAATCTGACCACAGCCACAATGCAAAGAAGCATCTTCAGGTGAAAAAACACACAGAAGCCTTCTTAGAAATCTGTTTGGGTCTGAAGAACAAATCTGTACATGATGCCGGTCATGTTTGCTCATGTTGTGTGGTGAAGTTCCATCCCAGCAGCCTGTGGAAGCTGCTTTGTGATGTCTCCTCCTGCACAAGATAAATTCAGGGATCCTCCTCTTTCCTAGTTCATGGAACAGTGCTCCCACTGGGATCAAGGGGGTTTTAATGGTGCATATCCTACCACATCTCCAGTCTGGGCTAGCCAACATCCCAATATTTAAACATACCAAAGGCCATAAACCTCTCTGAGATATCACTCAAAACTTTGGAACATGGAGATGTCCTTTATTTCCAGGCCATACCTGTGTAGAATCTAAACCATAATCACAATCCTTTGAAGTCTTAAGCCTCTGTCTCCTTCTGTCTGATCTCCTCTCTGTGCTGTCACATCTGCCTGTCAGGCTGTCTCCTGCTGAACTGGGGTTCCACATTGATACAGGATTTTCTGGTCCCCTTTCAAAACACCTCATCTCCTTCTTCCTTTGTCATTTGCATGATACTAAAGCTGTTTCTTTTTTTTTTTGGGAAGCTTTCCTGGGAGCTTGGACTCTCCTTTGTTGTTCTCTCAAGTCCAATTCACTCTGGGTAAGGCAGACCTGGAGGCAAAGTTGCTGTTGCTTTCTGAATTTTTTGTCATTTTTATCCAGGACATGTTTGTAAATGGTGGCATTCTGCTGGCTTCATGCTATATGGAGAGCACCAGAACTGTCCTGCCTGTGGGATTTTCCATGAAAAGTTAGCTGGATAAATGATGCTGGCATCATTTATCTGTTCAAAGCAGTTTGGGAATCGCTGTGTGATCCATAGGGCAGGACTTTGCTGGAGGAGGAAAGTCTCAATGCAGCAGAGATTCCTGTGCCAGAGGTGAGAGTGGAGTGTCCAGGAAGGACAAAACCCCAACCAGTGTCTTGGAGGATGGTTTTTCTCTTGGTGCATCTGGTGGGGGTGCAGGGAATGTTTTTGGTTGTTTGAGTGAGGGACCATTCTGGTGAGTTCTTCCATAGGGAGGGGAACAGGGGCTTGACTTGCTGTATCATCCAGGGTGGAACTTTATTTTTTATCCATGCTGTTTTTTTCACTGTTTTTTGGATGGATGGGCTGGAGGACAATGAGCCAATGGACACAGTGTGCTTGGAACACTACGTAAATTTGGATAAATAATTTTGAAATTAAATTCTTCCAGCATCCATTCGTGCTGCTCTAGTTAGGTGATGGTTTGACTCCCAGGTATTGCTCCAGCTCTGGTTCTTCTATCCCAGAGAGGTCACAGCCTATAAAACTGTCTCAATTGCTTTGGATGGAGCCTGAGCACGTTGCAATAAAGCTTTCCCCCCAGGGAAAGCATGACAGGCTCATGGTGGCACATTTGATGTGTGTGTGGGACACTGAGCATCCAACCTCTGCTGCTCTTCTGCAGAAATATTTTGTCAGGATTTCTCCCTCTCCCTTTATTTGTTCAACAGTGTGTGAAATTCAGCACATTTGAAGGAATGATAAGATTTACCTCTGAAACGGAGCTTTTGTGTATGAACAAGCCAGTGTGGGGACAGTTGGAAGGAAAGCTCATAATACCACCAAAGTCTTTAAAAACGATGAGCCTGAGCCTGCTGTCCTCTCTTCACCTCAATTTCTCAGGTGTGACAAGCTTGAAAGCCAGAACCCTGTCTCTGACTGCACACTAGACATGACACCGTGAGTATATTTTTGGAAAATGAAGAACAATTGGTGTGTTACTGAAGGAAAAATACAACTGATGCTGCTTCACTGAAGGAAATCCCACTGCTGCCTTTTTTTTTTTTTTATTTTCTTTTTTTTTTTCCCCTGGAAGCTACAGAATTTACTACACTGTTTATGTGCTGAAAGAAAATGGTGATAAATTAGTCCCTGCAGCCAATCCTACTTGTATCACAGAAATAGTTGTATTTATGGAAGTGGTCAAACATGCAGTAGTGTCCAGAGATGTATGGCAATGTTTACCCCAGACCACAGCACTGTGTGATTTATCACAGGGCACAGAGCAGGCCATAATGTGTGTCCTAATTAGTGTAATGTACCTTGTAATAGCTGTGAAATAAATTCTGCACCAAAGCTTTCGGCCCAAAAACACAGGATCTAATGCAGATTCCGTGAAGATAAAAGGGAAAAAAAAAAAAAACCAAACAAAACCTAATGCTGTAAAGGCCTTTGGGTGAAGTCTGAAGTATATCTGTACATAATCATAGAATCACAGAATGGTTTGGGTTTTGGAAGAGACTGTAAAGATCATCCAGTTTTAACCCCCTGCCATGAACTGGACCGGGTTGCTTCAAGCCCTATCCAACCTGGCCTTGAACATTCCCAGGATGGGTGGGGCTTGGAGCAATACGTAGATGTCAAGTTTGTGGGCAAAATGTGTGTTAACCTTGTTATTAAATGTGTGTTAACATAAAAATGTGTGTGAATTTTGCGTTGCTCACCCTTTTCCTTCCATGACACAGAGCTTTCCTCTGTCCCATGGGCTCATTCTCCCTCTGTCACTCCAAGCAGGACTGGAAATTGTTTCTTGATTAAGGAATTAATCAGCCCCATATCTTTGCTTGCACCCTCTTGGTGTGGCTCTTTTTAGCACTTGGTAGTTTTAGAGAGAGAGGATGAGTGATGATGGTGTTTTGAAGCTCTGTGAGAGTCTTCCAGTTCCTTATCTCTCTTGCAGATGGTATTTAAGTGTGCTGCAAAACATAATTCTCATGTGGGAGTGGATCTCCACATGGACTTGTAGGATTTCTTCTGGTGTATTGCTGAATGATGTAACAAAAATTTGCTTTTTTTTTTTTTTTTTCCTCATGGAGTTCCTGGAGGACTGTCAAGTATTGATGTTATCAATTCATGGAGAAGGAAAGTGGCTCCCCAAGGGCTTTTGCTGTGAAGTGCTGTCAAGAAGGACTAAGCTGAGACCTCTGAGCTTTGCTTCCAAGGGCTTGGAAAAATGGAGTTTCTTAGTTGATGTAGGATGAAATTTCCTTCACTACTTGCTATCTCTCTATTTAGTGTAAAGGCTTTTTTCCTTACTTTTATTTTTATAAAGAACTTTTCTTATTCAGATCTTTGCTAGGACAGATTTTGTTTTTAGGGCTGGTGCTGTGGTGGTTTTGTTTTTATTTTTTTTTTTCCTGCTGTTCTCTTTCTGTTTTTCCTTTATCTGTTTTTTCTCCGTAGATCATGAGTATTTGGTTGGGGGTGGAAGAGTCAAACCAACACAAATTTATTTGCTCTGTCAAGCTTCCTCTTTGTAATATTCTTCTCTGTGTAAAAGATGACACAAAATCAATCTCCTGGTCGGCGTCCTCATTCCTCTTCTGGCAGCTTTTACTCAGTGATCATTATTTTTTGTTTGGCTGCATTTTATTCTTTAATGTGCTTTCAAATACATCAGCAGATAACAATTGTTGAGATCCTCCTTCCCTTTGAAGGTCTGAGTGCAGATGTGAATTCGTGTGGCCTTTCCCTAACCTTCTGTGATCATGTCATGCTGTTTTGTTTTACAAGGGATACCAGGGGAAGGAATTGAGTGCCAGTCAAGAATGAAGAATGAGGATATCTTATATTGTGGAATGGGATGTGGCTTCAGTGATCCTTTTGAAACAATGCCTTTGTGGAAATTTCTTCCAAAAATTTTTTCTTTTGTGCTCCGATTCTCTCAACTTTTCTCCCCCATCATGCTGCCCTTCACTTTTTCAGGTTCTCCATCATTTTTTTGGGTGACTGTGAAAGCAGCTGCCTGGTTTTAAATGAAGTGAACCAAAATATGGATTTTTAAAACTGCTGTTGCAGTGGTGAAATTATTTTTCTTCCTGAATACTTTAGTTCAGTACAAGTTCTTTCATGCTATAATTTTTTTTGTTTCAATAGACTTTTTTTAGAACCTTTATATATGTAGAATTCTGGATTCAGAGGGGGAAAAAATATAAAACCATATGGACATAGTTGAACTTCTAATCTGAATTGAATGAACTTTTAATATTTTTTGTAGTCAAAACTTTGCAGGGCTTTCTCTTTCCTCCCACCCACACAATAAAGATGATTTATGAGTTCCATGATCTGAAGAACTCTCTGTAAAGACTGGGGAAAGTTATTTTTGTTGAGAGACTATTGAGGAGTCATCTGATGGCAAAGAGTGATGACCAGGAGGACTCAGACCCAACGTGAGCCCCAACAGTGAGAGGACAGAGGTCGGTGATTTAACCTCCAGCTGATTTACTGCAAGATCATTCTTTGCTCAAAACTCCACACTGGTGAAATTTTAAATCCAAATTTAGTGAAGGATGTAAATATAAATCTGAACGTGAGTCTCTTTGACTCTGAGTTCGTCTTATCTTAGGGGAGAATGCCAGGGAGTTCCTTCCTACCCCATGAAGTGGATCTGCACGGATTTACCCTGTGTTCAGTAGGAAATTGCAGGTCTCCAGAACACCTCTGATGGCAACTGTGAAATTACCCTTGCAGTTCTGCCCTTAAGCTGCTGAAGAGATTTATTTCTTGAACAGCTGTTCTCATATGGGAATTTTCATTTCTCTAAGTAGGATTGGAAGCTGGGAAGAAAATTTACCTGTTGGGTTGGTGAGGCAGCAGTCAGAAAATTATGAACAAAAAAGGAGATGTTTTCTTCCAAGAGTTTTGCAGTCACATTATATTTAATGCTGTCTTCAGCTGTGTCCATTGATCTTTCTGGTTGCCTTTGAATTTAAGTGTCTAGCGAGTTTCTTATGATGTTTTGTTGGGTTTTTATTTTGTTTTTGCCTAACAAAAAAGAGTGACAGCAGTTTCTCTAAAAAGACAAGCTAAAATCTTGTAAGTTACCATTTTTTCAAAATGTCTCAGCTCCTGAGGAGACAAACTGCTCTCCTAAAGGTGTTACAACTCACTTCTGAAACCTCAAGATTTTCTTAAGATGCCTCCCTTCTCCAGCAGTGATTAATTGCTGCTCCTGTAACCCAGTGGATGGAGTGGCCTGGTATAAATCCAGACACGTGGAGACCTTTGCTTGTCTTTAATCATCTGCTGTCCAGTGCCACAGTGGAATAAATTATTATTGTTGTTATAAAAGCTGCAATTTATCTTTGATCAGGCCTCATGGCTAAATTTTTTATTTTTACTTTGTCTTCCTTGAGGCTTACTGGTTTGTTTTTTGTTGTTTTGTTTTGTTGTTTTTTTTTTTTTTAATGTCTACCAATAGAAATTAAATTAAGAGCATTTTAATGTCTATCAATATAAATGAAATTAAGAGTATTTGCACAGGTACTGTAGCCACACAGTTGCTGCTCATCACAATCTGATTGCAGTGATTTCTCTTCAAACTGACCTAGAATAACTCTGGGTGTGTTTCCTTCTGCTCTTGAATATTTGATTCCCAGGCACACAGTCCTCCTTTCCCTTCCTCATATCACTTCACTTGATGCATTGGCAAGAGCTGGGTAGAACAAACAGGTATTTTGTCCTCATGAGATATTTGGCAGGTCTTTATTGGCTTTCCCAGCGCCGTTCTCCTGATGTGAGCCGAGGATCAGAAGCTGGGTTTATTTTAGGCGACTTATAAGACAAAATATAAGCTGCTTCAGCTCCTTTTCTTCCTCTGTGTAGGCACAGGCTACACTGTGGGAGCCACTGGAATTATATCTGTGAACAATACAGCCTTTCATCTTTCTCAGACTGCAGTATATATATATATATAATCCGACTGGTTGGTTTATTACATTTTTATTGCTGTCAAATTTTTCCGAAGATTAGACTAGGAGGAAAAATACCTTCAGAGCGAGATCTATGAAGCTGTGAAATGGCTTCTGAAGAGGGGCACTGGGAGCACTACAGCTTGAATTATTGCAAGGCAGGCAGTCCAGAGGATGAGAAAATCCCTCCTGGAGGTGATGATGCCTGGGTGACCTGGCTGGGATGGATTAGCCCATGCTGGAGGTCACCTTTCCACAGGGTGGGTGGGTCCTGCTGGGAGCAGATTTGGCTGTTCCCGATGAGTCTGTGGGATTTAGAACATCTCTGAGATGCATTTCCAATGAATCAGCCAAAGTTTCTGTGCGTTACTGCACTGCAGACTGTGTTTCTTAGTACTGATGGCTTTTGAATGGTTAAATTCAGATATTCTCTCACTTGTTTAAAAGCTTTAATTGCCCTGCCCTTTACTGGGGCCTTTAAGTACCTAAAGAGAATTTATAAAAAGGGAAAGACAGGTTTTCTGTGGGGTGCGTATTGTTAGGGGAAGGGGTAATGGATTTAAATTAAAGGAAGGTAGACTTAGACTAGAGATTAAGAAGAAATCTTTTATGCTGAGGCTGGTGAGGCCCTGGCACAGGCTGCCCAGAGAAGCTGTGGCCTCCCTGTCCCTGGAAACTCTCAAGGTGAGATTGAACAGGGCTCTGAGCAAACTGCTCTGGTTGAGGATGTCCCTGCTCAATGCAGGACATTGAAACTAGGTGACCTTTAAAGGATCTTTCCAGCCCAACCTATTCTATGATTCTGTGACTTCATTTTTAGGTCTGAATAGGACTTCTGAAGAAATACAAAGGGTTGAGCAGGTGGTGGTCTTAAGGCTGAAATTAATATGAAAGGACCAAATGCTGATTGGTGCAATAGAGCTCTTGAAATCAAGAGCTGATGGCTATTTTTCACATTTTGAAAGCTTCCTTGATAGACCTGCTATCTTT